ACATAACTGCATACCTATGACCTTTGATACCTTAAAATCAATGTTAAACCCAGTTGGAATAATTCACATCCTTTTTTGATCAATCAAAAATGATTTCATTGAATGAGAGCACAAAAGGGTACTGCAACCCATACAATATACTGCTGTAAAAACTTCATCAGGCGACTTCAAGGACATCATCACAGAAGTTCAAAAAATAAAACAAGCGACTACATCTTCCAAGCTCCAATTCACAACAATCAGTACACCCGCATACACCACAAATGCACATCCTACTTGCTAGTTTTTAGCATGAAACAAACGGGATGATCATGATGTCTGGCACCTTACTTTTCTGTTGATTTTCCAGATAAATAACAAACAGAAATTATTTTCCTCAACTCCTCTGAAGATGTGGATGTAGCATATTAGGCAATTAACTGAAATGCCCTTGGGGACAAAGAATCTTATCCCATCACGATCTTTACTTGTTCCTGTTGTATTTTGAGCCACTTATACTCCCCTTGCTCTTTCAAGTACTCAACGAATCATTTTAAGAATCCATCACTTATTGTTTCAGTGTCACAAACTGGGCAACAATTTCTTCTTGCTTGTGTTTCAGCCCCATTCATATTCATCCATGGTCCCTTGAAAACCCCAACTAAACATATTCAAAATGATACAGTTTTATTTCCAATTTAGAGCTCTACCAAAGGAAAAAAGAGTTAGAACGGTAGCTTAGACTACCTCTTTGGCATAGTTTGACCAAAAAATGGAAATAATAGTGGCTTCTTTCTCTTGACCTTGGAAGCCATCAGAAGTTGAGATTTCCACATACTTTGGACTGTCCTTATTGCATCGCAACATCTTTAGTAAGCCAACCTGAAAAATAATTGAAATTTAAAAGAACAAACCATCCATGCATTGGTCAATTCCTGAAGGGAATGGAAGTAGAACAAGGAAAGACAACTGACTAGCTAGAGCACAATATACTCTTTAGTACTTGCACAGAATATGGAGTAATGTAATAATTCCAATATCAGAAGGTTGGACTCGTCTCTTTGCAAGAGAAATATCAATCTCAGCTTCACCTTCTTTTGATCTGTGCTGTCTTCTTGTCATACTTCTTTCATGCCACATCACATCTGAAGCAGATTAATCATGTACATATAATAAATATAAGAGCTGAAATAAGAAAAGCTTAATAAAATTTGATTACAGAATCAATATCAAGTTAGGAAGTATGGTCCTCATATTTCTGAAACTTCTGTGCTAGTTAAATTACATTCATGCTTGTTAAGGTGTGACAGTATATATGAATTAAAGTATGACTTGCATAAGATTCATAAGATCCACATTTTGAACTTTATGTAGAAAATACCGCACTGATAAACATTATGTGATGCAACAAGCAGAACTCAAGCTCACTTAAGCACATTAATAGAAGGGACCTTTGTCTACCTCTGGTACCAATTAAAGCCAATATGCTAATAGCACATAAGGAAAAGTGCAAATATTGCACCTAAACCAGCAAAACTTTGAGAGCTCCCATCGCAATTTATTTGAGTCCTTACCTTTGTGTGCTGGAAGAACTTCTCCTTTGGTGGATGAAACTCAAGAAGTGTTTTCCCCAGTAGCCGTGTCCACTTTGAAAACCAAACACAAAGTAAATTATAAGATACCTGAGTGATTCAATGTTCCATTTTGGTAGAATGAATCAAGGTCAGACTTGTATTATTGTATATGATTCCTAAGGTCTACACTCAAAACTTTTCAAAGAATAAAGAACTGAAAAGCCATTCCACCATTCTGTGATACATTAAGCATAATTCAAGCTTGCTTAAATACATACAGTGCAAGAGAACTAATTTCCATATTATGTACCAGTTAAAGCTAATATGAAGCAAAAAATTGATTGAAGAATTCTAGTAGATCCTACCTTTTGTTTTGGCCAACACAAATGTTGCCACATTCTCCACTTTTTCCACATGAAAGGGACCATCTAAACCTTCTTCTGGGATCTCATCCTGTTCAATGTGCATAAGAAGTCAACAACATAAGACTTCAGGAGAGTCATACATAACTAGAAACAACAAAATCAATAATGAAAGGTGTAGTATCTGTTCCTATCAGTTTAACAACAAAATCAACAATGTAATAAGCCACAGTTTCTTTTACAAGTCTCAATTACCTTTAGCCCAAAAACCACAACTTGCCAAAGAGCAGGAGACTCCTAATAAGCTTTCTTTGGTTTTAACTTTTAAGACAAATACAACTACATCATGGTTGTCAAACTGCATTGAAAATTAATAAACATATATAACTTCAAAATCTATTTGACTACGGCAAAAGTGGTTTAGAAACAAGACAAAAGAAAAGGCATGCACCATCATTTGCATTGGACGGAGCAATTTAATAGTGATTGCTATGAGATATTTGATGCACGTTTCTTGTTAATTTCATTGAAAAAAAATGAAAAAAAAAAAAAAAGATTAAGCCTGAGCATACAAGTAATGGAAAATAGCAAGATGTAATGTGATTTAAAGAATCATAATGTCTGGAAAACGGCAGAATCAGAACTCATTTAATGTCTTTGGACCTTAGAAATGTAAAGAATAATCACATTCAACATGATACCGAACATGAGTAAGCAAAATTCAAAATATTGCACCAAAACCATAAAAAATGTAAGAGCTACCACCACCACTCATTTGAGTCCTACCTTGTCAGCTGGAAGAACATCACCTTTGCTGGATTGAACTAGAAGTTTTTTCACGAAAAGCCCTGTCTACTTTGAATGCCTAATGCTTAATAAATTATAAAATACCTGAGTGATTTTATATTTCATTTTGGTAAAAACAGAAAAGGAAAAAAAAAAAAAAGAGGTGTTTATAGAAACTGACATGTGAAAATCATGCATACTTGAGCTGAATAATTATGCAGAAGAGCAATGCTAGGGGCACTCGCCTCTTGCACTCTCCGGCTAACACTTCTCCTTTTATTGGGCCACGTAAGCTTGTTTCAAACTTTGAAGTGCAACCTCTCGCCGACAAGAATAACGTGGCCCAATAAAAGTGAAAGTGTTGGCCAGAGAGTGCAGAAGGCGAGTGCCCCTAGCACTCCTCTTATGCAAAATCCTTTTTATTTCAAATCCAAGCATGATTCATATAATAAATATACGATCTAAACATCAACACACTTAAAAGTCAAAATACATAGTGAATTCCATGTTTTGAGCAGTATCCAAATCTCTTGAAGAGCCTGAGAAGATATACGCTGATTTCTCTACTTTCTTACACAATTAAATACAAAAAAATATTGGCAAATCCCATCAATTTCTTCTACCCATTGTCTCATTTTGCAGTTCAATAGTAAGCAATCACCAGGAAAGCATTACACTTAACAAAAATAAATAAAACAATATGTGCATTTTCATTAATGATTTTTTCTTTTTGACCTTTTGGTACTGAATGACTGATAAGATGATTTACAGAGACACCCATTTTTGGAATGGTGATAATATTATATTAATCAAAACTTTAGACCAAATAGTAATCAAAAGTGAGATGAACTGTTGGAGAAAAAACCTCGTCCAAATTGATTAAAGGAGTCAGTGATGGTGGAGATGAAGTGTTACAGACGACTTCTTCTTGGTCTTGTGTCCCCCCATCACCATAGCCGCTTCTCTGCCAGTTAGAGAGAATGAAAGATTTAAACAACACACACATATATAAACATTGTTCTTGGAAAAAGGAAAACATATATATAAAGAGAGAAAGTCCTCAACCTTTATGCCTTGGCTTGCAAAGTTTGTCTAAACCATTAGAAGCCAACATTTGCATCCTTTTCATCTGTATTTCTGTACTGTTGAACAAGAAGCTATCACAAAACAAAAGAGAAGAGGAACAAGAGAATCAATAAATTGGTGATTTGATTGTTGTGGGTTGGAATTCCTGCTTTCTCTCCAGCTAATTCATCAAAGATTAGATT